AGTGCGCGTCAGCCGTCACACGTGGAAACTAGATTTCCTAAATGACCATTTCCCGGGGTCCAGAGGGCGGTGGGGGCCGCTGTCAGAAACTCCCATCGCCGCGTCTGGTCCTGGTTGCTTTTGAAGATGCCTACCTGGCGGGGCCTCTGCATCCCAGGGCCCAGGCAGTGGCTCCGGGGCCTCCCCAATCTCAGATGTTGGGGAGCACGAAGTGAGGGGGGCAGGTGGTCTGTGGGGACCAGGGGAGCCAACTACTTCCATGTGCTCCTGTCGCTCCAGCCCCCAGGAGGCTGCCCTTCCCAGGACCGACCAGAGGGAGGCCCCGCCAGGGTCTTCCCGTGGCCTGTGAGGCTCCAGCCCCAGCCCTGGGTCCTCTGTGCACACTGCCTCCCTCTCCAAGGCTCTGAGCTGCACCCTCACCTGTGCGTCCTCCTGTGGGCGCCCCCCCTCCCCCCATGCGGGCAGCCTGCTCTCTGGCCTTCTAGCTGGGCTACCTCCCTGGGCCCCCTCCCCATGACTTTGGATTGTTATGGGTTCACTCAGCGAGATAGACCACTGACTCAGAATTTAAATTTAAGAGCCTTTATTAAGCTGGCCAGCTGACTACAGTCACAGCACCCTGCCGAAGCAGAGGCTGAACTGCAGTGACGACTACAGGAGTTACATTTTATTATTAAATTCCGTGGAGGCCCAGAGAAAAATGTGTCTTTCAAATTCTGGGCCCCCAATATGGAGGAAACTCTCTTTATTTATACTTTTCCAGTCCTTTGTCTCCCAAATTTGGAATGAGACTTCCGGGCCTTCTGGGAAAGAAGGCCTTCGTGCTGGGAAGGGGCCATGAGACCATATCTCAAGGCCTGGCCTGATGTCAGTACCTTCCTATCTACGTGTTTTAGGAACAGACAGCGCAGCATGACCCGTCTGGCCAAAGCGTCAGATATGCAGCCCAGCACAGGATAAGCTCCGCAGGCAGACAGAGCGGGGCAATAGGCGGGTGTCTCTCCCTGGGGTTCAGGGGTGCCCCGATGGCCTGGATGGGGGATTCAATAGGGTCCTGATTGCCCCCCCCCCCCAAAGGCCAGTTCTCTTTCAGACGTGGCATTTCTCTGTTGAGCTGTGACGTGGCGCGGTAGCTGGTCGTGTGGACGCTGCCACCACACAGCCAGCCTGGCTCCAAAGGCCGCCGTCCGTGGGAGGTTCCCACCCCACCCCACCCCGGGTGCCACACTTGCTGGCTTCTGCACGCCTCCAGATCACAGCCTAATTCTTGGTCCACGATGCCATTTAGAGTGTGTTTCCTACTAAATAGCGGAAAATTACCCTTTCAAGTTAATGAAGCCGCTTGGCCACATTGGGCTGCTGAGAGGACCTTGTGAATGTCAGCTCAGAGGAGCCACTCCTGTCTTCCCGGTTTTCCGATTAAGAATGGCCTCCCCTGCGAAGACCTAAGCGGCCCCGGGCAGTCCGCCTCCGCCGGCCCTCGGGTCAGGGTCACCGGGACCCAGCACCTGCGGACTGGAGCCGCCTGTGTCCTCGGCCTCATAGCGCTTCCCTGCAGCGCACTCCCTCCCGACCGTGACCGACTGACTGCCTGGGTTCCTGGCACACATTTGTGAGAGGAGGAGCTGTGGGGTGACTCACAGCGGCAGTGTGCCCTCCCCTCTGGCCCTGGGAGCAGGGAAGGCGGGGCTCCCCCTGCTGGGGAGGCGAGGACAGCGATGCCCAGGTGACCCGGGCCAGCTGGGAATGAGTGGCTCTGGGATGTGCCCGTCACAGCCGCGACACGCATGTGGGCGGGCAGCAATGACAGGGGTGCCTGTCCCTGGCTTGTCACATGCACCTGAAACGCCCGTCACTCCTCTGTGGACGAGCATGGGGTCAGGGGAGTGGGAGAGGGAGCTGGCGGAAGGCCGGCTCAGCAGGAGCGCCCCGCAGCCCCCAGTCATTCCCGGCCTAGAGGAAGGCGCGGTCGGGTTCCGTCTGTGAATAAGTTGGCTTCACACGACCGTGAAGTGGTGCTTACGTTGTATTAATATTTATTGGCACCGACGAGGTGGGAGCTTGGTTGTTACCTTCGCCCCGCATCACAGGGGCTCCATCCAGATGCAAGCAGATTGCGGCTCGAGAAGCTGCTCGGCCGCTGGCTCCTGGAGGTACAGAGGCCGCGGCGGCTCCTCGCTGTCCTG